GGGGTGCTGGGGGCGGGGGGGAAGGAGAACTGTAGGGAGATCAGAGAACATCTAAACTACAATAACATAACTATACATCAATAAAGCTTCTCTTAATATTCACACAATATTCATCCCTTAATTGTGAAAGCAAATCATCTCATCCATCTATAACAAGTTGAAAGAGGACAAAGTCATCAAAGCATCACTTACTTACTGATATAAACAAGTAATCTGAGTCAGGTGAATCTCACTGAGGAGGCATACATCTCTCTAAAATGCACAAACTTTTATACCCTTCCTCAACCATGTCCTGTTTTCCCGTTGGCTGGGTATCAGGAACTCACATTCCTCACATTCTTTCTGACTCCCCACAGTGCTCAAGCTGATACCTCCCTTCCCTCCCCTTTCTATACTTCTAAATACCAAGCACTGGTTAACTCCCCTTTTCCTGCCCCACCCCAAAATCAAGCAGCCTAGGTTCATGCTAACTACATCTTTGCCTAAAAGATATAAGTATACATTATTATGGCTGAAGCAAAACATTATTCTATCTCTTACATGGTGGATCATCACTTGCTGTTTCTGGTTCAAAATGCTTCTCACCAGCTTGCCCAGACTTGAAAGACATGAGAAACTGTTTTGTCATACTCAGTCATGTTGGACCAACTACCATCCTTGATGTTTCAAAATGGCCCTGTGGTCATAAAAGCTGAAGCTTTAATCAAGACCAGCTGAAACTGTTTTGACCTGTACCATCTATCTACTTCTCAAGCTCCTCCTTTCACTAGCAAGTGGCACCACTGGGCCCTGGCACCCCTGGTCCTTGCTTGCAGAGCTTCACACTCATTCTTGCTCTGCTCCAGGTCTCCCCTGGTGCAGGGAATGAGTAAAAAGTAAAGAATTGTTTCTCCATTGCTTCTTAGAATATTAAGGTTTGAAAGTTGAAGTGTTCAACTGCCTCTAACAAAAACTTTAGAAACTGCTATATTTTAGAAAATAAGGCATCCTGTTTCAAGTCATTAAGAAAGCTT